ACGTTGGGTAACACTACAGATGAGAAGCTTAAAAGAATTACGTTGGACCTCCCCGATCCAAAGCAGATTTTTGCATTTGCGTAGAAGAGGCTTGTCTTCTGCAAGGAATCCCATCAACACCTACAGAAGTCACGTAATCCTGTTTCAATGATATGATAGTTCTGGACAGGCTATTCAAGCAATGGTTAAAAAAAGAAAGGGGTTTCTCTTATTCATCATGGGGAAGGAATAGCATTCACATTAACCAGCCTCAAACCCCCAAAATTTGCACCAAGTTTTGCTAGGGGTTATGTTTGTTGCGAAATGAAAGAGGAGACACTTTCTTAGTGTCTCAACTGCCTACCAGCCTAATTCCTATGAGCCCATTTGCGACTTGAGGAGAGTTGTGTTTCTAGGTCACTCAATTTGCTTTTCGAAACTTCACAAAGTGATACAGGGGCTGCAGGAAAATGAAGTTTGTCCTAAATTCAAATATCCTCCTAAATACGTTTTTAAAAGCATGTCCAGTGTGGTGCACTGGTTCACAATTGGAACTGGCTATGATTAGAGCAGTACTAGGGTCATAATGCTTGGTTGGCATTCATAGCACAAACATCTCCTACCAAACATAAATTCCCCCTTGCAGTAAATTCCCTTGTTAATGAAATTTAACATAGCATCCTCATTACTTAAAAAAGCAAAAACAGAAACGCTCCTGACTACCAGATGCCGAGACATTATTCCATTCCTGAGCAAGAGGGGAGGCTCTCCCTAGTGCCCTCTCCCTGTCTCTCTGAGACAAAACCACACACACCTGACACAGCCTGGTGTCTGGTGACTCCTGGTGTCCTTTGCCATTGATGAACCTTTCCTGCATCTCAGATATATATATATATATAATAACACGTTAGGGCTTATGTGGAAGGTACTCCCAGTCATATTCTCCATGAACTGGGATCCCTTCACGTACAAGAAAGGCAGTCACTCTTGGGTTCTTGAGTCCAAGACGGATTGGGCTGGAAAGTGTTTCTAAGTATTTCTCTTAGCAAAGAGAGCATCTGCTACCACTGCCATTGGGCAAATGACACTTGGAGACCCATTGGATGCTTACTAAAAACATTGTAAAAAGAATACATTGACAAGAGAGCAAAGAGGCCACATTCAAGTTGTACCCCAGACAAATCACTGGAGCGAAGGCAGCTGGCTCAGTCAGGCACGTTTCTGCAGAGCTTGTAGCCTGTTCTGGACAGGTTGGGCTGTGTCCCTTTCCTCTGAGTTCCAGTATTTTCCTTTTGAGGTTTTGGGTGTCTGTTGTTACTATGGTTTGATGCTCTTCCTGATCCCTTTTCTCCACTTTGTTCTTTTCCTCCTTTAGTTGTAGCATTTCCTTTGGCTTCCTCTACATACAGGTGACAACAGCAAAGAAATTAAACGCTAGGGTTTTGTGGTCGTCGTTGAGACAAACAAAAAGACAAACCCTTTAAGCTTAGAACATATGAACACTCTCAGCAAAACTTCAGCGCAACAAAATTAATTGTATAGAGTTAGAGGTAGTGGAAGCTGCCTGACTGGTAGATGTGAAGGTTTGACATTGCCGGCTGTACACTACGCATGCACACATACGCACCAGAATCGACCACACAGCTCCGCACACTTCCCTCTTCCCTTTCTCAGACTTCAAAAGAATAATAATAATTAATAATAATAATAATAAGTGAGGAGAGCAAGTGTCCCCCTCTGTTTTGCACCAATGAGATCTTCATTATTTATTTTCCAAAGGTCTGTGGAAGAGGCCCCTCTCTTTCTCCTTATTTACCCCCATGCTAAGCTTTGGGGGCAGGAGCTTTGCCAAATTCTTTGGGGTTCATCCCCCTCCCCATCCCATCTCCCCTGTTAAATGTGTCCATCTCTGCATGAGGGGTCACTGGTTGTTACAGGGCAACTCCACATGGTATACTTAGGATAGGCCAGGGCGTCGGGTAAGGGTTAGGGATTGTCTGATTTGGAGTGGATCTGGAGAGTGCTGCAGGGAATGGGCTCCCATGCCATCTGCCCAGGGCAATTGCGTTTGGGTTTCTGGCTTGCAGTGCCTGGAGTTGCCCCCAAATGACCGTGCAAGAAAACAAGTTGATCTGGAGAACCTCCTGGAAGCCCCTCTCCTCTCTGCCACAGTGATCCCCAGCTGACGCATCAGCAAGTTCTGGAGCAGACATAGTCAGGAGCTGCTGGCGGGACCAGGTATCTGCATCCCTGTCTAAGTGCAATGATTTTCCAGTTCCAAATGGAGAAACAGGGTCAAGGAAGGGAATTCTGAGGGCTGCAGATCTGCCCCTCCCCTCCACCAGCAGTTGGCTTCCCTGCTTATCCCCATTCACACCCACCGTTCCCAGATGTCAGAGGAACACACACACACACACTTTCTCTATTACACACACACACACACACACACACACACCCCCCTTTAACAGTGGCCACCCTTATCAGAGGCCTGCTTTCATGGAGGAGTCATGAAGCCTGACCCTGCACAGCTGCAGGACAGCTGCCGCATGAAGGGAGGGAGTTCTTCTCCATGAGGAATGTGGTAAGGGAGCAAGTAGCCTGCCGAAAATACATGTACACGTTTCAGTTGGCTGACATAATTGGCTGCTGCATGTGGAGCCGCCTGCCTGAGGCTTCCATCTTTGGCATGAGTCAGGTCTGCTCTTGCCCAGTCAGACTGCAGACCTGGATTGCATGGAGTCTAGGAGTGGCGCTTTGCTGCTTCCCCCATACCAGGGCCCTCACCCAATACCTTCAGTAAAATGCAACTCAGAGGTGAAATACAACCTTTCAGAGACTAAGCAGCTGGGGATGTAGAAAGACAATGATTTTGAAGAGAGTGTGTTGAGAGAGGGGTCACTTTGCATGTTGTACACACAGGCATTTCACGTCGCCTCTCAGGAAGCAGTTATTTCAGGGTTTTGAAACAATCCGAAAAGCTGTTTCCCAGAGGCAACGATGGGATAAGTGTATACAACACAAATAGGTCATTCCTCTTTCAGACTGCTCTCGGATCTATGAGAACAAATGAATAATAGTCTCTAGCCAAATATCCATAAAGTAATTTAGGCAAGCACTGAGGGTTGAGCTTACATCTGTGACGTGGGCAGAGATCAGAAGCAGTAACTGGAATTGGGACGCAGCCTCGTTCCTCGTGGTGAGGTTGGAAGGCGCCCATGTTTTAAGCCCAAGGTCCGTGTCTATGTCCTTAAGAGCACAAAGCCATGGAGAAGTTCTGCAAATGTCAGAATGGAAACCATTCCCACCTTGGTGGTCTTAAGAAAACAGACGTCTCCCCTCCTCCAGTGCAGTCTGCCCCCTCCCCTCCTCAGCATCCTTTCTCCTGCAAAGTACCAATCGCCCTTCTTTCCCCTGGTTGCTTGGGACATGGTCCCATTGTGATCTAAATCACGAGACTTTGAGGTGAGATGAAGTTGAAGCATAACTCAAGCATTGCAGTCCAGGGCAAGAAGGCACCTAATATAGCATCTGGAGTGCTGTGCATCTTTCATTTTATTTTGACATAAGAATCATTTGGAGCATTCCCCCAATTGAGAAAGACAGTGCCCCTCCCCAATTCTTAAAAAGTGCATCCAAGCTCCTGGTGACCATTTCTGAATGCAGAGCAATGTGCAAAAAGGGGATGGCCCAAACCAGGGAATAAATACCGACGGCCACCATAGTTGGTGCTGCTACAGCATCTTTTCAGTTGCTAAATTCATTCAGTCAATGTATTCAGTTATTTAAAAGAAAACCATTCAATCAAGTAATTCAAATCTGATTTCAGCATGCTTCTAAATATAATGCCCAGGATTGCTAGGAGTAGGTTCCTTACTTGAGAAACCATGGGGAGGGGGCTATCTGTTTGGATGGTCTAAAAAAGTGGTAGGGCCAGAGATTTGCAGGAGTCCAAAGGCAAGCGACCACAGATAATCAGCACTTAAAAACTGGAGGTGGGAACAAGTAGAGGTTTACTGTATCTCATTCTGAAAAGGAGGCTCTGAGTCCTCGCAGTGCTTAAGCGCACACTTCACTCTTGGCATCTCCTAGAGTGCGACCGTTGGGTGACAGCAGCATGTGGGTGGACAGAGTGACAATGTCATCCGCTTACATGTTAAACTCTACCTGGTTTGGGTCCTTTAAAAGGGCGAATGTAAACACTGAGGAGGAACCTGGAAGGGGTGGCACACAGGACTTTAAATTATGGTGGCTGGAAGGTATGGGCAGGAGAAAGAAAGATACACAGGAATGTGTGTTTAAAAATGGGGAGGGGATTTTTAAAAAAGCAAAATATATATTAGGGGTTTTAAAAGAACCAATTTTGTTTGCATTGAGCCAAGTGCAATGGAGTGCATAGTTTTAATATCTTTGTATGTTAAAGATTGTTAAGAAGAAGAGAAAAAATCTATTTTTGTTGCAAAGTCCTCTGTTCCCAGGGACTCTAAATAAATAGGGACAAAAGAAAAACCCAACCTTTGTAAGTATGGGGAAAAAACTTTTTCTGTTTATTTTTTCATTTGTTTACTTTTCCTTTTTCTTGTTTGTTTTTTAAATCCTTTTTTTAAAAAAAATTGATAATGATCGGGGTTTGGTTTGTTTTTTTCCTTTTCCTCATTAGTTTTGTCGTTTTATGGGAGGGCTGAAGGCAAAAGTTTTTCACACGCAAAAATAAAATTGTAAACAAAACAAAACACTGTATCAGGTTAAAAACATAGAAGAAAACTGCAAAATTAAAATTAAAGAAAAGGACAACAAAAAAACCCTAAAAATCATAAAAGAAGAAAAAAGATTAAAAATACAAAACCTGGTGCTTCTTACAATATAAAATACATTAAAATCTCTATTATACATAGTTTATGAACCAATTAATTGTTATCATAAAGCACATTTTAGGAAACATGCATTATCCCTTCTTTATGTTTAGCTGAAAGGGGCAGCGGGCCTTGCAGTCAAACGCACCAGCAAGTCTCTGGCAGCTTCTCATGGATCTTCCCAGGTTGCCGAGTGAGATGGGTGACGGTGAGATTGCCACGGCAAAGGTTCCTGCACAGGCCGTGGTTCTCTGCCTCCTTTCACCCCTTTCTCCCCTCTCCCCCTCGCATCACTTGCCTCCGCACCCCCTTCTATCTTGGTTCTCCTGGCTTGTTTCTCTCCAACCCCCGCATAGAGCTAAGCAAAACCAATTGACTTTGGGAATGCCTTTGATTTCTTCTCCCCTAGTGAGCCAAATCTGCAGCGTGCGCTCTCTCCCTCTCTCCCTCTCTCATCTTTCAGGGGCTCCTCTTTGGGAAGAGGAGCCGCCTTGTGATCTCACCAGCATCCCGTCCATTGAACTCCTTCCATCCTCCCCCAAGTTGGTTCTTTTCAGCCCTCGCTTGCCCTCTTTCTCACAGCCTCCCCACCGTGGTTCCTCTCAACTCCCTCCCTTCCCTTGCTGGCTCTCGGGGCGGTGGGTGGGGCAGGGGGCAAAGCAGCAGTGCATACCCCCCCAACCCCAACCCACTTGCCCCACAGCCTCTCAAAGCATGGAAGGTTGACTTAGAGAAACGTCTCGCTTCAGGGAAGGACCAAGATGGATGGTATTGCCTTACTCCCACCCTGCTTAACTGGCCAGCTGACATAGTGCCTTTTGTAAACCCATCTTCCGCTGGAACAGATGGACCGCATGCTCTGCCGGGGTGGGTGGGTTACTGGAAATCCCGCCCCTTCCCCCCTTTGACCCATGTGCTCAATACAGGGGAAAGCAATAAACAGCCAAGCCTCGACCAGCAAGAGGGAATTGTGGCCATGGCTAAACGCAGTGGTGCCTCGTTCTCTTTGGCCGGCTTCTGCTGCCCCATGCATAAGAGAGGGCCAGCACCACCCAGGAGAGAGGGAAGGATGCGTGTCACCCAGGCAGCAGGGCTGAAGGCTGCGTGGATTTCTCTCGGCAGCCTTTCTGCGCAGGGCCGCCTCTGCCATCTTGCATGGGGCCCTCAGCTTTTGGGTGATGCTTAGACGGGGCCCTTGATGTACCCAGCGGCTGCTGGTGGCTCCTCTGGGAGCCCTGGGGCGTGTTAGGTTCACAAATCCCAAGATGATTTCAGTTTGGACTGGACTGCCCTACCAGGGCTTCGTCCGGCTAACCTACTGAGACCCTCCTTGCCCTCCCTTGGGCACCTTATCTGTGGCGGGAGGGGGAGGGAGGGTGTCCCTTGGCTTGAACTTAACCCACCTGGCCAAGAACAGTCACCCTGTGCTCCGAAAAGGATCCTCAGGCCCTCAGTTTATTCGGATCTCTCACCTTCTGTCTCTCGCTTTAGGAATAACCGTGGAGCGTTCCTGTCCTTGAGCATTCCTGTCCTTCCTGGCCAGATCCCTTCCGCAGCCCCCTTTCTCTCCCTTTTTTGCTGACCCCCCCACCTTCCGCATGCAACCCCCTCCCCACCCACCGCGAACCCCCAAACCCACTTCTCTCGCTCGGCAGTAAAACCTTGAGATCCATGAAACTGCAGCTTCCCTGACTGCAACCCACCCCTGCCCCTTTGAACAAGTTTCTTCCTTGGTTAAGAAACGCAGTATATATATGAGTACAGTACAGTATATATATAGTACTAATGGAATTTGGTGTGCTTTTTCTCCTCATCCGCCCCCCCCCCCGTCCCTGACCGTACCCCTTTGCCTCTCCTGCGCCTCCCCGATGCCCCCTTCGTGTCTTTGAGTCTGTTCTTCCGAACCCCCTCCTTCCCTCCCACCCACCCCCCGCACTTGAAAATAAAAGGTAGTTCTTCGTCTGTTTTTGTTCTTTCTGAAGTTTCTTCCGTGTCTAGCAGAATGCAGGTAGCCATATGTTATAACTGTCAATATTGCTTCACGACAAAAAAAAAGAAAAGAAAAAAAAAAGAAAAATCCGAACTGTTTTATCATTTTTGCCTGAGCTTTCTTCGGCTTTCTCCATTGGAATGGCTTATTGTGTTATGTGAATTTAAAAAAAAAAAAGAGGGGAAAAAAAGAAAAAAAAATTCAAAATATGTTTAAAAAAGAGAAAAAAAACTACATATACTTCAAAAAAGAAAAAAAAAATCATCGGCTTCCCTCTTTCCCTGTCCCACCAATTCCTTCCTCAGAGCAGAGATGGGAAGCCCAGTGGAGGGGAGTGCCGAGGGCTCCACGACGATGTGTGTATGTCTGTGTTGGTGGGTGGTTTTTTTCGGGGGTGGGGGGGTCTGTGTCCCTTCTTTCCCCATTCCCATTCCTTTCTGGAGGAGCTGCTCAGAAACATCAAGAATAGACCCATTCCCTCCATACACCCACCCACCCACCCGCCATCCCTTTGGTCAAATTGTAAAGTGCCTAATTAAGAGGTCATTTTTTAAGCGGCAAAGACAATACTTCAGTTCCTCCTCACGTATCCTTTAGGATTGGGCATCTCGGAGTGATGCCTCCTGGCACGACACCTGCTGACATGTGGAGGGAGGGCAGCTGCTGTGGATCCAGCAGCTGGAGTCAGCACCGCTCACCTCCCACAACCCTTCCCCTCCCCAAAGCACTTCTCTCCCCTCCGGGCTCCCTTGCAGCTGGAGAGGGAGAAACGCTTGTGGCCACAGGCAGGAGAGGAAGGCAAGCCATGGGGGGAGGGAGGCTCAGCACCCCTTTTGCTCTGAAACTCCCTTTATCGAGGCAGACCCACACGGAAAAGATGGCTCCCCTCCGGTCAATTCTAGTTAGGCCCAGAGCTTCACAGCCTGGGGTCAGCTTTTGATTTGGGAGTCCAGCCCTGAAGTCATGAGGTACAGAGGTCCAGTTTTCAGAAGCGGCTCAGCCCCCTGTTGGGTTTCCACAGGCCCACAGCTTTTCCACAGCATCCCCCTAGGCTGAGCTAACATGGTGGTCGTCTGTCGAAAGACACCGGTGGTTTCACGGGTCGCTCCAGCCAGGGCTGTCTTAAGCATATCCGGCGCCGTGGTGCAAAGCCCCCTGTTTCCCAGAGTTTTTTAGGGGGGACGGGGCTGGAGGAGACAGGGAAGAGGCGGAGGCTGGACGCAGACACGGCAGACGGAGGCTCCGGGCACGGCGCAGCATGGCGGAGGCGGGTGAGGGTGGCAAGCTGATGCCAGGAGGCGCTTCATCCTGCCTCTGCCTCTTCCCTGGCGCCCTCCAGAACTTGGCGCTCCGCGCCACTAGCCTCTATGGGTAAGACGCCCTTGACTCCAGCTTCACTCCAGCTTTGCTGAGAAAAGTTTGGGAGTGACACAGTGAGAAAGCCAAAGGGGAGCCAGCATATGTTTGCATAGGATAAGGGAGAGGCCCGAATGGTTGCAGAAACAAAAACCAGCTCCCGTTTCCTGGGTGCTCTTGTTGAAGCACAGCCAACCGATGGAGATGCTTCTTCCCCATTGCCATGGGGAATGCTTAGTAACGTCTTCCATTACTGTTGCTTCCTTGTGCAGAGGCAGATCTTCCCCAACGACTCCATTCCGCAGCCTCCAGCCTTGAATCCTTTCGTGGGACATACCTTGGCACCCAGGAGCTGTTTTCGGGAAGAACTCTTCCCCCTGCCACCCACTGAGGCACCCTCCATTTGGGCCGAGGCCCCCTGTAGATGTCAGGACAGTACCTGCCCATTCCAATTCAGGGAGAGCGAGGCTCTCTTTTTTTGGCGATTGTGAGGTTTTTGCCAGAGGGGTGCCAGTCTCAGGTGTGCCACCTGCAGTCTTACCCAGCTCAGGCCCCAAAGGTGTGTGCCCGTTTCCACCGATGCCAGCTGATGCTCCAGAGCAGCCGTCTCCCAGCTCCATCCCCCCCCTCTCAGCGCCCTCCCGCTCCTTTACGAAGCTGTTCATTGCTACTGGTTTGGTTTTTGAAAACAAAAAGAACTCATAACCCTGCAGCCGAATTAAGGGAAGTGCCTTAAACTGATGCCTTTGCTGCCACCAGCGAACAAACCGAGACAGGAAGAGAAATCGATCAAACTTTTATGCATCCAGCTTCAGAAATGTGAACAAAAAGATGTTTACAGAGATTGCAATCAAACCGCCTCCAGGTGGGGCTCATGGGAGCCCCTCCCAACATTGCTTATCATCCCCACCTGCTTTCTCCACTCTCCCCCCTCCCCGCCTGCACTTTTCACACACAGGAGGGAAGCTGAGGCCTACAAAATGGCTCCCTCTGCTAAACCAGCCTTCATTTCATGTAGCTCGACCCTCATTCTTGCCCCCAAAGAAGGGAACCAGCTGCTGCGATGTGGTGGGCCAGCTTCTCCAGCCCCTTCCCTTGTCCCAGTCAGCCCTCGGCACTTCCCCTCCCTCCCCAAGTGCCACTCTCCGAGCGGGGTGTAATACGCATGTGTTAATTACAAATTTTTTCCATAATAAAAGTTTATAGATGCAGCACCTTCTTTAACTGATTGAATTAAAGAATGTTATTGACTGTAATTGTCTCTCTTTGGCTTCCTTGATGGATGAATGGCCACAGAGCCCTAATACTCCCCTGAATGTATTTGTTGCATGAGTTCGGGGCTACAGGGGCGACTGATTGGGGGCCCCAACACACCACACCGACATGTTCACAGGGAGATGGTACAGTCATACCTTGCGTTGTGTTAGGTTCATGTTGCATCTTCTCGGCTTGCGAACCTTCCGGGTTTCACCGTGTGCGCAGAAGTGTTCTGCGCGCTTCGCGCATGTGCAGAAGCATTCTTCGCGCTTGCGCAGAAGTGCTCTGTCGCTCTCCGCGTTTGCACAGAAGCGCCGCTCTAGTTGCGGACTTTTCGGGGTGCAAATGGCACCCCGGAACGGAGGTACCACTGTAGTTGTCTTCTACTGAGGCTCAACTCAGCAACCCTGCCCAGCTCCATTAACTTCAGGAAGTACATGTGCAAAGTATGCTCATCCCTAAAGTGATGGAGTGTGAGAGCTGCGGTGGCTGCTGGTGGGTGTTGATGTCTGATAAAGCACCAGGTCTTCCCAAAACACAGCAAGCGCTGCTAGCAAACCAACACTCCCCTGGCTCCAGCATGCATGCAACAGCTCTTCAGATATTTCAAGATGGCTATCATATCACCTCTTGGTCTTCTCTTCTCCAGGCTAAGCATACCTGGACAATGTTGATAAGGATGCTTTGCCCACACATGCCAAATAAAGAAATAAACAGAGCTCATGAACTTGTGAAGGAAAAGGGTAAAGTACCATTCATAGCTAAAAGAAGTTGTTCATACTGCAGAAAACATAGTTCATGCACCAGGGCTGTCGTAGCTTCCTGGTAATGAACTAATAAATTCAGAAGTGAACAGGTGAAGTCACACAGACCCTAACCCTATTTCACAGGGTTGTGATGTGGACGGAATAGGTGAGGCCAACGCAAGGGCTGTCTTGGGTTCCTTGGCAGGATATAATTGTAGCAAATAGAGCACTGATGGGTTAAATGGATTAAGTTGCATGTTTGAAAAATTCAGCTTAAAATGGATTTCACCCATTAGCTTGATGCAGGAGGACTGGCGGTAAAATCAGCCGGTCTCATTGCACAGGACTTGCTCCTTGTTTCATCCTAAGCTTTACAAAAATGTATCTGAAGAAGGCTAGTAAAAACACTGTTTTTTTGCTTTTGCTTTTTAACCATTTCTACTTCACTGTTCACTGATTGTGGAAGAGTCTTCAACAGGGCTGGCCCACCCATGAGGCAAGGTGAGGCAACCGCCTCGGGTGGCAGGATCCACAGGGGCAGCAGATCTGGCCTCCAAGGAACGCATTACCCACCGCTGCCACCGTTGCTGCAGTGGCAGGCTCCTAGAAGTCTGGATCTGCCTCCTCGGCAGCCTCCTTCCAGTGCTGCCTCTACAGCAGTCCCTCAGTGAATAGGAGGTGCACCTAATCTCCCACCACTGGGGAGGAAATGGCGGGAGCTGCCCTCTGGGCTCTGCGCCCGCCTGGTGTGATTCAGAGCAGCCTCCTTCCCCCTCCACACAACAGCCATTGATTCGAGGTTGATTTTATTCCCAGTGTAGATCTTTATTCCCCGCTTGTTCCCGATGATGATCTTCCCTGGTGTGTGGGTGTGTGCCATTTTGTGGATCACCTCAGGCGCCAAAATGTCTTGGGCCGGTCTTCAACATCTGTTAAAAACTACTACACACACACATAGAGAAGCTGTGTCCAGGCACAATCTCAGAATGGGTCTTTCAGATCCAATTTTTCTCCGTGTGTGTGATTGGCACAAGAGGCTCTGCACATCTGTTTTTTCACTCACAATATTAATTCTGTTTCTGCTGTTTGCTGTCCACACCACTGGCAGAGCTTGGCAGGAAATATCCAGGGTATACGGTTTGTTGGTTAATTGGTTTTCCCCCTCAACCTCAATCACTCACAATCAACTTAAAGGTTTCAGCTGTAGTTTGCCTGGTTGTTGTTTTTTATTTATTTACAATTCTGACTTATTAGATCTGTAATAATAAAAATAGGTGGTTGGAGCTGGGCTCCTTAGTGCTCTTGACCAGGTAAGGGTCTGTAGTAGTATGTGCCAAACTTTCTGCAAATTAATTCCTTTCTCCCAGCCTTCTGCAGCTTCTACTTAAAGCACTGCAGGCTTTGGACATGTTGCTCAGAGGAGCAGGTGGTCAGATCAGACCTAAATCTCTTTTCAGTTTTTGCCAGCCTTTCCAAGAATCTCCCCTCTTGGGAGGGAAAGCAAGTGGCAGAGGATGTGTGTGCATTCCTGCTGCTGCTCTGTTTTTTTAAGGGCTCTTCCAGACTGGTGTTTTGTTGCAGGTGCATTCTGCAACATACTATTAACACAGCAAAAGTGCATTAGCCGTGGATCCACTACTTTTTTTCTGGGAGGACGCTAATTTGGGGGGACATGAATATTTGTACTTTTGTCCTTGTAGGGACGCGGGTGGCACTGTGGGTTAAACCACAGAGCCTAGGACTTGCTGATCAGAAGGTCAGCGGTTTGAATCCCCACGATGGGGTGAGCTACTGTTCCTCTGTCCCTGCTCCTGCCAACCTAGCAGTTCAAAAGCACAGCAAAGTGCAAGTAAATGGCGGGAAGGTAAACGGTGTTTCCGTGCGCTGCTCTGATTCACCAGAAGCGGCTTAGTCATGCTGGCCACATGACCCGGAAGCTGTACGCTGACTCCCTCGGCCAATAAAGCGAGATGAGCGCTGCAACCCCAGAGTCGGCCACAACTGGACTTAATGGTCAGGGGTCCCTTTACCTTTACCATTTACTTGTCTTTATTTTTCCCAGTTTTAACTATAAAATGGTGATTCTCTTGAGTCAAAATGAGAGTACCCCTAAACATTTTTTTAAGAAAAAAAGCACTGCGTGGATCCCTTCTGCTTTATTAGTTGTTCTGCGGTGCTTCCCCAATGGCACCACATAATTGCTGTCTGGGGGAGATATAGCACAACAAAAGCAGGACAAAAACGGGCAAACCCAGGACATTTGTGCTATGAAAAGTCACAGGATTTTAGCAGGAAGTTACAGGATATGTGCTGACGGGAAATGAGACAGGATGACTACCCCAATATCTTTGCAACCACAAACAGAATTGAAATCGGGATCTTGTGTGACTCCCCCAAGAACAGAAATCACCATGAATGCACAATAAGAAGGATGTCTAGAAGGGCCCAAAATCTCTCTCCATGTCCCCCAGGTCTCCTTCCTGCCTCAGGAAACCCTTGGAGAAGTTCGAAAAAAGATCTAGAAGAGGCAACATGATTCTGAGGAGCTTTAAGCTGAAGTTGAAGGGCAGCTGGAGAAGGCTGGGACAGGAAGACTGGCATACACAGACACACCCTGCCCCCATTTGGCATGGCAAGCAGCCCCCAAGCATTTTTTAAATTATTGTCACAGGTATTGCACAGATCTGTTCATGCAAGGAGTGCACAGTAGTAGGCTGTGTGGAAACAGAGGCCACTCATTGAAATGTTGAATTCACCTAACAAAACCCGGAAGCAAATGGAGGTTTTCCTTCTCTCTTTCTCTTGTGCTTCCTCATAAAGGTAAAGGTACCCCTGACCATTAGGTCCAGTCGTGACCGACTCTGGGGTTGTGGCGCTTGTCTCGCTCTATAGGCCATGGGAGCCGGCGTTTGTCCGTAGACAGCTTCCGGATCATGTGGCCAGCATGACTAAGCCGCTTCTGGAGAACCAGAGCAGCGCACGGAAATGCCGTTTACCTTCCCGCCAGAGCGGTACCTATTTATCTACTTGCACTTTGACGTGCTTTCGAACTGCTAGGTTGGCAGGAGCAGGGACCGAGCAACGGGAGTTCACCCCGTCGTGGGGATTCGAACAGCCGACCTTCTGATCAGCAAGTCCTAGGCTCTGTGGTTTAACCCACAGCACCACCCGCGCCCCCAAACTGGCTCACAAGGGTCGGGAGAATCCCCAGAACAAGGTGTGGGGGAGAAGAGGAGGGATCTTTCCATCTGGCAAGTTGAAAAGCTTGCACTGATGGAATGATCAACTTAGCACAATGTTGAATTCCTCATAATAATAATTCTCATATATTGTGCAATACTGCTTTAGCACTCTTGTAAAAAAAAGGTAAAGGACCCCTGGACAGTTAAGTCCAATCAAAGGCGACTATGGGGTTGCGGTGCTCATCTCACTTTCAGGCCGAGGGAGCCGGCATTTGTCTGCAGACAGCTTTCCAGGTCATGTGGCCAGCATGACTAAACCGCTTCTGGCGCAACTGAACGCCATGATGGAAACCAGAGCACATGGAAACGCCGTTTACCTTCCCGCCACAGCGGTACCTATTTATCTACTTGCACTAACGTGCAGGAGCTGGGACAGAGCAACAGGAGCTCACCCCCTTGCGCAAATTTGAACTGCCGACCTTCCAATCAGCAAGCCCAAGAGGCTCAGTGGTTTAGACCACAGTGTCACAGTAGACATATCCATTTTGCCCATTGTTGAAATGTAAAATCTTGTTACATTTGCTCTTGCTCTCTTCCTGGGATTTTTTTTCTTTAGAAGTGCTCTCACACACACAGAAAATACCAGTGTGCCTAGCCAGAACAGAAGTCAGTGGAGTGCAACTGCAGAATGACTATAGTGAGGGACCAAAAACAAAAAACCCCACCTCAGGCTACATTCAATCATGCTCTTCCCATTTCATGTGAACCACAAGCTGCAGAATAGCAATTAATATCCATGACTGAAATTATAAGCATGTGTAGAAGCTGACGTGCCAAACACGCAGAAGAACCCGAACTGAATGACCCATTTGCAACATAAAGCTCGCATTAGGAAGCATCCCGATTCTCCAAACCTAGAGGAAGGTGCTACAGAAGAAACTCCTTAGCCATGGGAATGAGGCTGAAAATATAGCTAAGCAGAAAACAGTGACGTCTGCCAGGGCTGTTCATCTCTCTGCATTTGGAATGATTCCTAGCACATAACAGGGATTGCCTGTGGAAACTTGCACCACCACAAAAGTAGGTAGTCTCTTTGCTGCCATGGATGTTGTTGTTTACTGCTGCAGGCTAAGAGAACTGCTCCCCTGGAAGAATTCAGCAGGCCTCTAGTCTTCATGATTTCAAATATACAGTTATGGCAGTGTAGACTCAGAAGGCAAAACTCTAGTGCGTTGAATGGTTTTCTGTTCTCCCACCCCAGCCCCCACTTCTGGGCTGCCAAGGACACGTTCCTTCCCTATTGCCTCTCATTTACCCGAACCTCTTCCATCCTCAATTCCTAGGAGTAATAAAAATAATCTCAATGCTCACACACACACACACACACACACACACACACAAGCTCCAATTTGGTGGGTGGGAGGAAAATAAGGTTCAGAACACAGCAGGCACATTGAGCAAGATTATGCAGTACTTGTTAAATTGCATTAAAAAGGATTGGTCTGTATTTTGTCTAATTGTGGGATGATTTCAGCTGTAACATTTCTCTCTTCTTGGGACAGAGCATGAACGCTCCAGGTCATAAATATCTCCTGGCCTTAACATGGATGGATCTCCTAGCCCAGGGCACCCCTGCTGCACTGGCCATTTGAAACATCCAATGGGGGAAGAGCTCACCCTGCAGGGATGGCTGTGAAAAACAGCCATCCCCTTGGCCCATTAATCTGGCGATCCACTGGGTGCTGGTGCATTCAGATAAGCAGTAGCTGTCGCCATACTTCTCTGTCCTTCCTTCTTTCGCTCGCTCCCTCCCCCATCCAGAAGGCTGCTCTTCTTCTTCTTCTTCTTCTTCTTCTTCTTCTTCTTCTTCTTCTTCTCCAACCTCCTTTGCGCAATAAAACCCAGCAGCCTAGGAGGACCTTCCACCCTCCTGGATCTGCCCCTGCTGGCACGTTTGGTTTTGGCAGGAGGCCCAGAAAGTGTTGGGCAGGTTTGGACACTGACTCAGCACAAACCGCCCTTCCATTTCCAGGAAGGGGAGCAGTTCCTGAAGCTGTGGGGCTCCCATCAACAGCCCAACCACCGCAAGCTAGGCACCGGCCCACCAGCAGTGACACAGCAGTCGCTGCGGCAATGCCCGTCTGTCCCAACACGCCCACCCAAAGCCCCTCAAACCCCAGACTTGGGTAATTCCTCTTGCAGCCCACTGAGGCCGCTAAAATTATGGCTGTGAGCTGAAGAAAGAAGCATCAATAGGCCTGGTTCTCTCTGACGGTGAGGTGTATCACGTGCGGACGGCAGGTAACGCAGTAACAAGGAAAAGATCCCTATAAGGATGTCAGGGAGGAGAGTGCTAGCCCAGCCTTTTCCTTGTTTTCTTTCTGAAGGATTTCGCCTCCCCATTCCAGTGCTTTGAACCCCTGCCCACAATCCAGAGGCTGGCAGTCAGCGAAGATTTACTCCGAGTTAAATTTTGTTGAATTCCACCCAGCGTGAGCTAGTAAGGGTCAAATCAGACGTGACATATCAGATGCATATAATAGTCTTCCAGCTTTTTTTCTTTTTTTAATGAAAAACCACAAGGGGCTGCAGTCGTGAGCAGACGATTGGCAGGGAAAGAGGGACTGCCTAACCCGTTCTCTTCCACCCATTTATTTACTCAATACCTTCCCCCCTGCCACTTCCCCCCCATCTCTTGTTGGCTTTTACAGAGGGAGTTGAGCCTGTGCCCTGTGATGAAGGGTTTTCCCAACAGAAAGGCGGAGCCTGTGAGCTGAGGGCTGTTCGCCCCCCCCCCCCACGTTCCAATGCCAAGAGCAACCCCTTAACCCTGATTTTATTCCCGTTCCTTTGTCCGGGCTCATATTTCGATTTAAAGACCCTGCACAAAATAGATGCTTGGGCTTGAGGATTTGGCAGTGATGCACATTGACCAGAGGTAAAACACAGAAGACAGTCCCCCTCGCCCACCCAGGGGACCCACTTCACTGGAGATGGGGGCAGGAGAGTTATGTCTCATACAAACCAGGCTGCCTGCTGCTTCCCCACCCCACCCCTTCTCATGGGTCATTCTGGAAACAAGCCAAGCTGGATACATGAACATAAAAAGCCCCGCTCCTAATTCCTCCTCAGAAAGAAGTCTCTGCTTTTTATGCCACCAGGTGGGCATGGCGGGATGTCCTGCTCAAAGGGGACTGTTTCATGGACCCTGAAATCTAAACATTCGTCCTTAGAAGGTCATAGCAGCCTCCACATCACAAGTCCTCCATGCAGTGCCCAGAAGGGAGATTCGGTCCAGGTGCTTCAATGCTGCTTCAGTCTACACATGTGGCTGTGTGGCACTGTTTGAGCGTGTGGAGGGAGAGAAGCAACGGCCGCACACATTTGGGCAGAGAGCTCTTCATCACCGCGGCTCTCCTGCCCCCAGCACAGTCACTGGCTCCACGGTCCCTTGCTCCATTTTTATGGGTGCTGTGGGTGGCGAGGGAGTCCTTGGGGTGCCATTGCAAGGCGTTTCTGATTCAGGAGGCTCCCCGCCAGCTGACCTGGCCTGGTCGCTCAGCAACTTGACCAGGAAGTTGATATATCGCATGGCCAGGCGTAGGATCTCGTTCTTGCTCAACTTCTTGTCGGGCGGGTGGGTGGGGATGAGCTTCCGCAACTCAGCGAAGGCGCCGTTGACGTTCTGCTGCCGCCAGCGCTCCCTGCTGTTGGTGAAGACCCGGCGTGCCACCTTCTGGGGCTGATGACCTGGGCAAATAAGCAGAGAAGGGTAAGTGGGTGGATAAAATGCATTCACGAAAGGGGCATCAACTTGGGGGCACATTCCTCTTCTGCTGAGCATGCCAGCCTTCCTGAGAAAGACACTTCTGCGCAGCCTCAGTCCCCAATCCTGTAAAATGGGCAATTCTGCCTATGCTTTCTAGTCCATGGAAGGTTTACCCCACTACATGGAAGGTTTACCCCACAGGTTTACCCCACAGCCACTCACCCTCTGTGATGTCCTGTTCATAATGGCTCGGCCTCCGCTTGAGGCGGTTGTTGGGGAAGAGGCCAAAAGTCCCAGAGCTGCCAATGTAGATGCTAAAGGGAGAAGAGAAGAGATCAGGATGGTTCTTCCACAGGCAGCCTTGTTTTAAACATAGAGTCGTACCTTGGATCCCGAACACCTTGGGAGTCAAACGTTTTGGTTCCGGTTTGCAAACGTTCTTTCGAACCTGAACATCCAACGGGGCTTCCACGGATTCCGATTGGCTGCAGGAGCTTCCTGCAGCCAATCAGAAGCTGCGCTTTGGTTTCCAAAAGTTTAGGAAGTTGAACGGACTTCCAGAACGGATTCCATTTGACTTCCAAGGTAAGACTGTATGTCTTATTCACTGGTCATTGGCATTTTTTTAGATCACCCTTCCTTTTTCCCTAAGAACCAGGATACAACTTTCTTGCAGTGGGTTTGCCTGAGCTTAGGTAGCCCCTAGATGTTATTTTCTGCAAATAAGAGGGCCCAAAAGGCAAATGATCAGAGGCTTAGGCATGTCTCCTGCTGTGCATGAGATAAATATCAGGCAGATTAACAATTCACTTCGGGTACAATGGTATACATGTCTACTCACAAGTAAATTCCCTTCTAGTTAATGGGGTTTACTCCCAGGTAAAATGGGTACAGGATGGCAGCCTAGGCTTTGGTTTAGGGTTGGCATTGTGGGCAAACAGGCTTCTCTCAATCAATCTCCTTTATTGGCATGCACAAAATACAAAGGATGTAAGTATAAAATTGGCATCTGTTCATAAAAGGAGTTAAAGGTAAAGGGACCCCTGAACATTAGGTCCAGTCGTGGCCGACTCTGGGGTTGCGGCACTCATCTCGCTTTATTGGTCGGGGGAGCCGGCGTACAGCTTCCAGGTCATGTGGCCAGCATGACTAAGCCGCTTCTGGCGAACCAGAGCAGCGCACGGAAATGCCATTTACCTTCCCGCCAGAGTGGTACCTATTTATCTACTTGCACTTTGATGTGCTTTCGAACTGCTAGGTTGGCAGGAGCAGGGACCGAGCAACGGGAGCTCACCCCGTTGTGGGGATTCGAACCGCCGACTTTCTGATCGGCAAGTCCTAGGCTTTGTGGTTTAACCCACAGCGCCACCCGCGTCCCTATAAAAGGAGTTACTTTAAGGTAAAACTAATACAAACCTAATAAGTTTTAAAAATGCCTCTCAAGTCTCAAAGTGACGTAGTTTCACGGCATCTCTCATAAATTTTGCTACGTTCTGCATAATCCCAAACCTACAACTGTTCAGTAGAAAGGAAACCCCAGAGAGGTTGGGGCAATTTAACCTTTCCTTCAGCATGGGATTTAAATATTAATCGCGAGTTTTTGTGTAAAATGAGCAGTAAAATAAAACATGTGCAGTGGTTTCGACCAAACATGGTCCTTGTACCTTGAACAGCTGTGGGGCAGAGAGAAATTCAACAGGTTAAGCCTTTTCTAGTATGGAAATACAATTATGGGGAAAGCTTCACTATGACTGCACTCTCCCTAACTGTGTGCCATGCATAGCCACCATGGTAGCCATTTTGTGGCTGGCACCCACAGTCCTCTCCGGGGGGCTGGGGTATCTTTGGACCCCTTAAACCCTCTGGGCTAGCTAGGGGCTGGCCCCCCTCAATGTTGAGGGGATGGAGGAGTCTTCTGACGGTCAGCCTTCCCAACCGTTGACCTCCTCTATGAGCCTGGAGTGCCAGTGCTGGACCCTCAGCAGCAGGGTTGCGCCAGTATGATGAAGGTCTAGCACTCTGGCTGGACACTTTGAGGAGCCCAGCGTGCCGGTGCCACATGTGTGCAACATCACACATGCACGATACCCCCCCCCCCATGTTGGCGCAACTCGGTGCCTCTGATACTCTCTAAAAATTTGAAGTACACCCACTGGTCCAAAAAGTTTGGCAACCCCTGGTCTAGGCTGGGACTGATTAGGGAAGGGCAAATATGCCAATTTCGTTTTCTGTCCATTTATAATTTTTGCAGTCTTCAGTTTTCTACATTTCCACATCAGCTTGCAATTTTACAAACACTAATAGTAATAGTAGTAGTAGTAGTAATAATAATAATAATAATAATAATAATAATAATAATACCACCATATTGGCCCAAATATAAGCCACAGTTCCCCCCCCCCCCAAATTCCGATTGTGAAAAATTAAAGTGTGGCATAAATTTGTGACCTTACAAAATTTGGTTTTTATGGTATCGCTGCTGAAACATACATACAGTAAAACGGAACCAAAAAATGTTTTATTGCCAATTTGCGAGCTTGAGACTGTTGTGCAATTAATTCTAATGTCATCCATCACTTTCCCTGTATTTTACAGTGCAGTATTAATTTTTTTATTTGCATTAAACCACTTGCAGGTCCTCTCCAGTCCCCGTAGGATTTTCTTCTACATTTGCCATTTACAGGTGTGAGTGCCTGCAGAATTTTAAGGGAGCGGCTTATATTCGGGTATAGTCTTTTTTTCTCCCCCCCCCCATTAATTTTAAAGGTACAACTTATATTCGGGCCAAGACGGTAATAATAATTTCTCACGAAAATTCGTCAGCACTTTGGTGTGAATTTCTTGTAATACGTACATTTTCCTAGGCAATTTCGCCCAATATAATGCATTTTCATACGTTATTCTCACAAAATCTGCCCATTCGCATGCACACTTTGCCCTGATATGTGCTGGAGAATTTTGCATTGCAAAATCTAGAGCAGTAATGAATTCTGAAGGACGGCTACGTTTCAGTGCTCTTCCAGAAAGCGCAAACCAAGTAGCTTCACCTTTTAATGTGAACGGGATCAAACTTCAATCCCATTCCGATTGCTGGCCTATTTCCATTGCCGGGATTTCTTCCCACCCCGCAAACCTGATTATTTCCACTCAGGACTTACCTGTTGAGAAAGGGCTGGTACTGAGGCTGGTACTGAGGAGCCAGAAGGGGGCTCCTCACTCCGGCTAGATTCGCCACAGGAGGCGGAGGAGGGCCAGCCGGAAGAGCTGAGAGCTGTAAGAGGCTGGGAATGGGGTGCAGGGCAGTGAGCTGAGTGGTGGGGACCTCGACGTGGGCGGGGGGCTTGCTGCTGTAGCTCAGGCTGATGACCGGGACGTTGTGAGGCAATGGGGCCGGGGGAGGCTCAGGAGGAGAAGGGCTCCCCTTGGCTGGAGGGGAGGAAGAGGTGGGGCTTGTGGGCGATGGGGTGGCCTCATCCCCCCCAGTAGCTGGGGAGGGGATATCAATTGGGGAGACTGGTGGCTGTGGGTTTTGCTGTTCTGGGGCAACCGGCGGCTGAGGGGTCTCCAGCTTCTCCATCATTTTTTCTTCACTTCTCATCTGTGGGGAGAAGAGAAAGTGAGGAAGACCACATCAAATCACACCAACCAACCAGCTATTCCCACAAGTCATGAAATGTGGGCATCGCAGAAGCTGGAGGGTGGTGCGCCCCCTAAACTAAGCCGCTTAACAAACCCAATTGAATTTTGGAGACGAGGCAAACCAGATTATTTGCAATCTTAGTTGCCTGGTTTTCAGAAATTTAGTCACAAACGCCGTGGCGAGGGATGCCAGTTCTTTTGGCAAAGACTAGTTTGTTAGCAGGAGGAGAAATGTATTTATGTAAATGTTGTTAGCAGATTCTCCTCGTTTTCAGACTTTTAGTTTTCAGTGTTTAATATTTGGGTTTTCGGCACTAATGGAGCGTTAACATTTACTTCTAGAAATGTGTTTCAGATGGAGGGAGCATAATGCGCTCTCAAGTTTCAACCAAAACAGTTCCTACTCCCCAAACGAGAAGCTATAACCGCTCTTCTTCGAGACGTCCCATAATCTTTACGAGTTCACTTTTGTAAAGGGAAGAAGAGAACTTTGTTAATCCTGACTAGAGGGCAAGGGACCTGGGTGACTTGTCTCGACTACAACAAAATTGGACCTTTCTCACTTGCCTTGTCACACAGTGAAAGGGGATAGCTGCAAAATTTCAGCTTGGCAAGTCACCAGATTGCAACGGTATGCTGATTTGGTTCAGCATTACCAGAATCACCATCGGTTAAAGAACAGCCCTGTTTACGAACTATTCGGTTTACAAACTCCACAAAACTGGAAGTAGTTTGCACACTCTACCTCAGTCCAAGAATGGAAGCTGAATGGTGGAATGGGATTGGCAGCGGGAGGCCTCATTAGGGAAAGCGTGGCTCGGTTTAAGAACAGTTTCGGTTTAAGAACAGACTTCCAGAATGGATTAAGTTCCTAAGCCGAGGTACGACTGTATATGATATAAGTCTCAAGTACAGTGGTACCTCAGGTTACATATGCTTCAGGTTACATACGCTTCAGGTTACAGACTCCGCTAACCCAGAAAGATTACCTTGGGTTAAGAACTTTGCTTCAGGATGAGAACAGAAATCGTGCTCCGGTGGCACGGCAGCAGCAGGAGGCCCCATTAGCTAAAGTGGTGCTTCAGGTTAAAAACAGTTTCAGGTTAAGAACGGACCTCCAGAACGAATTAAGTACTTAACCCGAGGTACCACTGTATACATATTCCAGGTTCTAGAGTCCACACGGAGGCTCAGACAGGAGAAGCAAAAACCTGTGGTGAACTGCAACAGGGATTGACATCAGACTTTTCTCAAACTACCCAACTAATTGGTGGGTGGGGGGAAGGTTGAAAAAGCCAAATAATTTACCATAGAATAGATCCAAGTAAGAAAGTGACAGAACACTACTTCCCACCTAGAGTTACCAGCTAAAACCACTCCGATGTTTCATCAATGAACTTTAGCTCATCTTGGGCAATGGTGCTTCTGCAACACAGGCATTGGGTGGTAACCCTGTCTGTCCTTACAAATAAACCATTAATCTAAACCCACTGTTTTTTTCCATACAGACCATTTGAAAATAACTGAGGGCCTTGGCAGACCACTGAATGCTTCTTCTGCTTATTGTGGCAATTGTAAAGCACTGCACTAGATGCCTCATGATTTTTGCACTCTTCCCGACATGAGAGGCAAAGAAACAGCACAGCGCACAAGAGAGGAGAGGGAGGATTATTCATCCCGGCCAGCTGAAACACTTTTGCAGGCGGAAGATTTATCATAGTGGGACGTTGAATTCCACCCATTGCATTTAATGTCTTACCATTTAAATTCAAACTGTAATACAGTGGTACCTCGGGTTAAGAACTTAATTCATTCTGGAGGTCCGTTCTTAACCTGAAACTGTTTTTAACTTGAAGCACCACTTTAGCTAATGGGGCCTCCCGCTGCCGCCACACGCCACTGCACAATTTCTGTTCTCATCCTGAAGCAAAGTTCTTAACCCGAGATAATATTTCTGGGTTAGTGGAGTCTGTAACCTGAAGCATCAGTAACCTGAAGCATCTGTAACCTGAAGCATCTGTAACCCGAGGTACTACTGTACACTGAAATGCAATAAATAAAAGCAGCAATAAAAACACAGTTAAAACTCAATGAATGTTTTATTTATGCAATGGATTTGCCATCTCACATAGGGATGCGGGTGGCGCTGTGGTCTAAACTACTGAGCTTCTTGGGCTTGCTGATCGTAAGGTTGGCAGTTCAAATCCCCGCGACGGGGTGAGCTCCTGTTGCTCGGTCCCAGCTCCTGCCAACCTATCAGTTCAGAAGCATGTCAAAGTGCAAGTAGATAAATAGGTACCATGGCAGCGGGAAGGTAAATGGCATTTCCATGCGCTTTGGCACTCATCACGGTGTCCTGTTGTGCCAGAAGCGGTTTAGTCATGCTGGCCACATGCAGGGCCATAGCTAGGGGGTGGTGAAGTGGGCCCCCGCCAGGGGCGTAGGCAAGGAGGCGTGTGCAATACTGTTTAAAAAATGTCCATAAATATGTCTATAAATAAAAATATTGATTATTTCCTCATAAGAAAAGGTTTTAAATAGAGGGTGAATTGAATGGGGGGGGTTGGGAGGAGAGGCTTATTTCTCATTTTCTGGGGGGCGCAATCTGGACAGTTCTGCCAGGGGCACAAGATCACCTAGCTACGGCTCTGGCCACATGACCCGGAAAACTATCTGTAGGCAAACACCAGCTCCCTCAGCCTGAAGCAAGATAAGCGCCACACCCCATAGTCGCCTTTGACTGGACTTAACCACCCAGGGCTCCCTTACATCTCGCACCTTCAACCATCAATCCACGAAAATGCCACGAACCACCCAAATGACGCTCACAGGGCATTGATAACACTGGGCAACAATTTTTTACTTTTTAAATGTTGTCCAGATTTCTACAACTGATTTAGGGTATTTTTGCACTGCTGAATCAGGAAATGGCATCCGTTTCTCTCCATCAGGTCATTTCTCTGATGAAAATAGGGACCTCCCATTCCATAGTGAACATTTTACTATTTATACCCCACACATCTTACTGAGTTGCCCCACCTCTTTGAACAGCTTCCAACATATGTACCCTCCAACATTTGTCCAATGAAAATAGGGACATCCTAAGGAAAAGCAAGACATTTCAGGATCAAATTGGAAACCAGGATGACTTCTCTAAATTAGGGACATCCCTGGAAAATAGGGACACTTGGAGGGCCTGTGATCTGGGGGGGCGGGCAGCAAAAGCTGCTGGATCTTGCTGTTCGCTCTGGCTGTGATTCTCTGAGGGCTTTTATCACAGGTGTCTATGAAAATCTGATGTGTGGGGAATCCCCAGCTGTCACGGAGAGATGGTGTGGTTCGATTGAGGTAGACGTTCTCAGCAGATAATCGTAAATGCGGTCATGCTCTGAGCCACAGGCAGTGGGTGGGAGGTTGGCCACAGCCTTGTGTGAGTTACTTTAATGTTCTGTTCTGGGGGAGGGGGTTATTCCTGTGCTTCCATGCTCAGCCAAGAAATGGGGGGAGCAGGTCTGGGTTTCTGGAAAACCGTTTTCTCCCCAATGCATTTATATATTTAAGGTAGGCATAGGCAAACTCGGCCCTCCAGATGTTTTGGGACTACAACGCCCATCGTCCCTGACCACTGGTCCTGTTAGCTAGGGATGATGGGAGTTGTAGTCCCAAAACATCTGGAGGGCCGAGTTTGCCTATGATTGATTTAAGGCCCCTGAACTTCAGTCAGGCAATGGCTGGCTGGCCTGGATCAGTTCAACAGGCCAGAGAAAAGGATCAAGCTACAAAAATGGTGACATGCATTACAAACATTTCTTCTTCATATTGCTTGTCTGCTTGCTTGCTGAATGGGGGTGCAGAGTGTTGTGTTTTCCCTCCGCTTAGGAATAAATCAGAATTCCAAGGCTCTCACAGGTTTGTCAGAAACCCTGCTGGTTAATTTATTGAGGGGGGGGGCAAGGGTGCAAGTCTGCCTGGGAATGAGAGCCTGTCTCTCATCCCTGCTCCCATTCCCTCTGCCTCTCATTCTTGTAATGTGCACTTAGGGATTCCCTCCAGTTTCCCAAGAAAGACATTTGACCATGTTTGGCTGGCCATCTTTTAGCTGCGCTTCCTGCATTGCAGGGGTCAGTGACGTAGCGTGGGATGCCAGCACCCAGTGCAAGGAAAATATTGCACCTCCCAAGGCAAGTATTGTGTCATAAACCAGCACCTACATGCAGCTCTGCTGCTGCTGCCAAACAGAGTTGCAATGTAGCAGTGGGACATGTGTGTGCACCTCCTTAGGCCGGGGCACCACCACTACCATGGCCACGAGTCTCGCCATGTGGCTGGGGGAAAGCAAGGGCCCGTCCTCTCCCAGCTCCTGCTCGGTGTGCTGCTCAGGTGAGGTTGGTGGGAGGGAGGGATGGGGCAGCAACCGCAGAGATGCACCCTGAAAGATTTTTGCACCCGGGGCAATCACTCCAGCAGTCTCCCCCCATGGTACACCATTGCAGGGGGTTGGAATAGATGACTCACTATTTGCAGTTTTGCTCTGTCTCCAGACCATTAATGGAATTCCCATTTCTTGTGCAATAGCTGCAGAGGTTGAGGGAACTGTCTTGGGACAATAATGGAAGTATGGGAACATTCCTGGTCTACTTTAATTCCTGAAAACCTCAACCTTAATTATTTATTTTTAAAGTATATGTGTCCCTAGCCCTCACGATTGTTAAGCAGGAGAAGAACTGAATTTGGACCTAAACTCGTAACTGCATCAGAGAGTCTTCCCCCTGCCCTCCTGCTCACTGAAATCGAAACTCAGCCTGAAGGCTATTCCCTTTTTTCCTAGATATCATTTTAAAAAATTCCAAAAATAAAATACGATTGGTCAGACATTTTCCATGAAGGTTATTCCCGAAGGGATAATAGTATCGTGAAACAGGTCACTCAGCTATTGCAACCAGGTTGATGGCGATGTGTTTTTATACACACACACACCCCCTTAGGATTTTTCCTTGAAAGGGTAAAAAATCAGGTTAAATTGAGATGGAGCAGGGGAATATGAGCTGATATTTCAGTGCCAAGGATGCTGTGTGGATGCTGTAAATGAATGCATGTGTGACAAGCACCCGTCGACAACAAACGCCCCTCTGGAAGCACCCAGAATCAGGAACCGAGCCCCTAAACAGAAAAACACAGTAGCTGGTTCAGAATAAGCGACTCAGTCATCAATAGCGCCAGGGAGGGGGTGTCTCTGGAGGTTGGTAAGAAACTGCCTCTCTCCTCCAACCCTCGAGAGGGCATGCAAAAAAAAAAATAAAGGCTTAGTCCAGGAAACCGTTAGAAAAGGGAGGGTCCAGAGAAGTTGTCTCAGCACTGATAATCTTCCTGCCTGCCTCCTACATTTATCTTGCTCTCCAGCACAAGGAGATTCTCCCCAGTTCAGGCTGTGCATGGGGGTAGCAAAACCAATTGCTTGCACCCGTCGGCTGCCCTATGAGGCACACGTGAAATGTGAGGCAGAGCCTGCCGTTCACTGCGGAAAGCGGGCACGTGGCTGTTCTCTCCTGGGGCTTGTCTTCCGGGAACCGCTTTCCCCCAGAGATGCAGCTCCCATTTCAAATCGGGAAGGTCTGTGTGGTTTGGACGACAGCCTTGAATTACTGCTGTAAGAGATGAGGGGTGCTTGGCCACAGCAAGCCCACAAATGCCACAGCCCTGCCTGGACGGGCTTATCAATGAAGCTCAACACAGAATAAAAAGGAGAACACACCAGAGACCCTGGGCAGATAAGACCTGGTATCTCTGGAAACTTACCGGTGAGGCATGGAAGTGAAAACAAGGCACGCATTAGCCTGCTCTTCTGTAGCCAGAGGTCTACTCTCCCTTTCGCTGAATGTGATGTTTTCAATGGCTGCTAATAATGGCAGAGAGGGCAACCCACATTTCTGCCTAGCTGTGTTCAAATGAGTGGTATCGCCATATCTTGCGGTTCCATAACTCTGATACACATTGTGCATGAAAAAGGACTACCCTTCCATTAGTTCTGAACCCTCTGCCCATCAATGTCGCCAGCAGGGTCAAGGTTATTTTGGAGCTGAGGGGAAGAACGAAACAGTGTCTCTCAAAGGCCGGCGTTTGTCCGCAGACAGCTTTTTTGGGTCATGTGGCCAGCATGACTAAGCCGCTTCTGGCGAACCAGAGCAGCACACGGAAACACTGTTTACCTTCCCGCCGGAGCGGTACCTATTTATCTACTTGCACTTTGACGTGTTTTCGAACTGCTAGGTTGGCAGGAGCAGGGACAGAGCAACGGGAGCTCACCCCATCGCGGGGATTCAAACCGCTGACCTTCTGATCTTAAGAACGTAAGAGGAGCCTGCAGGATCAGGTCAATGGCCCATCTAGTCCAGCATCCTGTTCTCACGGTGGCCAACCAGAAGCCTGTGGGAATCTTCCACCAGACCTACAAGCAATTTTTTAAAATTTATTTTTATTGAATTTATATAGCGCCCTATACCCGGCGGTCTCATGGCAGCAGGGTAGCAGGAAAGGGCAGGGCATTTGACAACTCACAAAACTCTGCCCTCAAAGTCTTTGCCTTTGCTCCTCTGACCCCAAGCATGTGCTGCCTGAAGCATCCAATTCACTTTGTCAAATGACAGGGCTGGCTCTGCTGACCCTCTGTATTCTGTTATGAAAGAGGAAGAGAAGTTCTCTCAAGCTCTGCCTACCAGCGAGGACAGGAAGCAACGGAATGCTGCTGAAATGCTCATTCTATCTGCTAATGGCCAAATATGCCAGATAAGAGCTGTGGAAGTTGTAGAATCCTCAAATTGTGTGGTTGGAAGGGATCTCCAATCTATAGGTAGATCGGACTCAAAACAGAGAGTTGGAAATATGCTGGTGTACCTGCACAAGAAGTAAGCCCATTTTGTAATGCTTTGACTCCCTGGTTGTGAAGACCAACTGCAAATGCGTAGTCAGAACTTGCCCAGTGCATTGAGAGGAGGAATTCTTCTCTAAGGGCCCAAATAACTACTCGACTCTCCGTTATGTTTTCCCGCCTCACAGAATCTCCCTCATGTCGCCCTTTCGGCTAGAAACAATGCACAGTGGTCAAAATCTGCAGAGAACCGAGTCCAAATTTAAACATGCAAATATGAGCCAGGTGGTGCACACCTGTGAATAAGGAAATTTGCAAATGCTTTGATTGATAATAGTAATTGACTTGGGAACAGGTTTTTTTTAATTGTTGTCCTTTTTCTGAATAGATTATGAAACTGCTCTGATTACAAAGTGAATTCCTGCTCAGGAAAATGCCATCATATTCAGGGCTTTAAAAACATATCCGTCCACAAGGCCTGGCACCCCTCAGATGCCTGGCTCACTTGGACTCCCCATACAAAATGTTGGATTAAGAATCATGACTGAGATAGGATGGGATGATATTTTGCAACGCAGGTAACTGAGCTAAGGGAGATAAAATGGCAACAATGCTTATTCTGAGTGGCTGCCACAGTCCTTTGTTTGAGTGTCAGGCGATAAAAATGTTTGAGAAATAGAGGAAATGGTTTTGCAAATGTCATCAGGAGGGTTTGGCGTCCCAATCAGCAACATCTGAGGCCTTTTCAAAGCCATTGTTATGCATGCACACAGACAAAAATTACGAGCTACTTTCAACTCGTACGCACCAGACTTTTAAAACACAGGCTGCTTAAAAAACCAAAAAACAAACCACAGTTCTGTGATTTACAAGTCGGAGACGTCGACTGTCACATGTTTTCATTTTGCCTTCAATATTTCCCCCTAAAACTGGAGGACAGCACAAGAAAGAAGGACAACAAAGTATACGGTGTCTAAAATTGAGAAGCAGAGCTCATTGAACAGCCACAAGTTCAGGGCATTTATTCATCTTTTTATTCCCTCCGTTGAAGGAAAAAATCCACTTTAAATGAGTATACTGTATACTGTACTGGTTAAACCTAATACAGCCAATCCATGACTTACTTTAATCAATTGTTTCTTCGTTTGCCGCAAATTAGTTACATTGACTTTCAATGAAACAGAAACTAACTTAAATCCAAATATTTCAGGTTAACAGGATTCTGGATTATTGCTTTATCGTAAAAATGTTATATTACCACGCTAACTTCCTGCCTTCGGTTTTCTTAACACATGCATTGGCATATTCATACATCTTATAAATAAATACACTGCGCCCGCAAAACAGCACAGAGTTAGGAGGACTTAAAGCCAATTTAAATTGGTGTCCTTAACAAAACCCTACTGTGGCCCCAATGTTTGTCACAAGTACCGTAATTAAAAGATAGATACTATATATTGTTTTTGTATATGATATTATGTGGATGTGTATAATTTTTTAATAATGAATGCATATATACATAATAAATATTGTTATTGCTCTCGACTGCTGCAGCTGGGTTTTGCTTTTGGTTGGTAGTTATATTTAAATGTATTTTTAACAGAGGTTAGAAACTGCCCTACGACTACTGATGTAATGAAGGGGAGATTATACATACTTATATTGTATATATAATTATAAGTAAATTATATTTTTCCTGAAGAGAGGAATGTTTGTAAAGATAAAGCTCGCTGACTCTGCATCGTTTCCAGGATCAATGCATTTCCAGCATTTGGGGGGGGGGGTATGTGTGTGTGGAAAGCACAAAATATTTGTCATGCATGTGGCAGTTCAGTATGAGACCATTTCACATGCAGTGGGAAATACATGCATTGGGAGCCAAGACCTCCCGCATGTGTGCTCACTGTGAGACAGGCACGTGTGCAATTGTCACACACAACAATCTAAACACAATTTTCACACACGCGCACAATTTTCCTACATGGAAGTGTTTGCCGTTGAGGAAGTATGTAATGTCTGAAGAGGCCCATACTGCAACAACTGTTAATCCAGGGGAGAAAATGCATCTCTTATTTTTAAAATGCCGATGCCATTACAGTGTTGTATCATATCAAGAAAAATAAAAATTGAAAAAAATCTGTGCATGTCATTAACAATATATCACACACTTTTCTTTTCATTTTACATAGATGACTATTTTACATGTTTACAGAGATGACTGTACGGCATGTGAGTTCATCTTCTGTATGAAGAAGAGCAGGGAATTGTAGATAAAAAAGTGCTGTGTCAATCTAGTAGAAAACACGAATGAGCCACAGCATTGAATTTGGTCTTCGAAACGTGAAGCAAGAAGTCATAATCGCTCAATTTTGTTACAAATTGCACTCCGGTAGGAAATCATGGTGGGTGATGAGGCACGATAAGAGATGCAATTGCCGAGCAAACGAATGATATCACAGCAGCTTAAATAACAACAGTGATAATTTCCAAGATAAGCACAGAGATCACAGGAATCTTTGAAATTCAAACGGGAGTGCAGGTGGAAGTTTCAAACCTATTGATTAGTGGTGATTATTTAACTGTAATTGCCATATAGAAAAATGAAGGAGGACCCTGTGACAGATCAGCGCTGCTCGACGGATGCCACTCTAGTTACTATACAGAACTAGATTTGGATTTCAATGCAAAATCTATTTGGCTTGTAAATGTATTTTCGGATTGCTGTGAAAATTCCATTCTGCAGTTATGTTTTCCGGGCCTTACAGATGCCATTTCTTTTCTTAAATTAGATTTTAGCAGTGGGATCAACAGTCAGGCAGTAAGGGGTGGTGGTGAGAAGAGACTAAGAATTCATCAGGAACAAAAAGTTCCCCACACAAAAAGGGCAATTGGAGGGAGAATAGTCTCAATATTAATTGCGCTACTAGACATCCTTATTCTGGACTGATGATACAGTAAAAAAATTGCCATAAAAACATACAAGCTATTCAGTCTAAGAAAAAAAATTCAGACCTGTGTACCACAAGAGTAAGAATGGGTTTTTGTTTAACAACAACAACAACAAATTGCAAGAAAAGGAACCACCGATCCTTTCTGGGCAAACTATGAATCAAAAGACCTTTGCTAAAATAAAATCATTGAAACTCAGTCCCCTCTGCCTTTTCTTTCCAAGGGAGATGCTAACCTTCCTTTTCCCGCCACTTCCCAAAAGCCCCTTTCCTCACCTGCCAGATGTCACCGGGCCAAAGCCATCTTTCCTCTTCCAAAGGTCAACCAAGGCGGTCATTTTTAATCCCCTGTGGCAGAAGGGCCGGCAGGAAGGCCGCGAAACCCCGTCCGATGGCCGGAGGATCCCGAGGTGAAATGGGGTGTCACCTGATTGCTGGCTGTAAAGAGGCCTGGGTGGCAAGGTGCGGGGGCATGTAGAAGCCGGGGACAGGGGTCCCCTCAAAGACGAAACAGGAGGTGCCAGGCTCTGACTCTAGAGCCTTGGAAGAAGGTGAGCGGCCCGCCTTGTCCAGGCACTCTACCCCCGAAGCCGGCCACATGGCTGCTGCAGGCTACCATGCTCGGGGGCCATGATTCGCGGCCGCTTCCTCTCTCCTCCTCTGCTTCCCTCTGCCAGAGCGCGCGTATAATTATTATTGCTATTTGCTGCTGGGCTGGGGACTTCAAATCAATTAGGCTCCCGCTTTTCCTGCCACCTCGTTCCTTGCAAATTCCCCCTGCGGCCACCTCTCTTTATTGACAGGCGCTATTTGGCCACTGGAAGGAGCTGCTTTGATGAAGGAGCCTGGGCCAAGCCCCCTCCCCACTCCCTCCCTCTCCCCTCCCCTGCAGGAGAGAGATTTCCTGCCCTCTTTGGACGGGGGATGTTCTGCAGTTCGGAGATAAGCCGCACAGGAGCTGCCTGCACAGGGCTGATAAGGAAACTCCCGAGTCAGACCCAGCCTAAGCAAAGGGACTTGGAAAGCAAACAAGAGGAAGCCCAGTGTCTACACACTGGAATAACATAGACCAGTGAACACATAATAGAGGTGGCTTAGGAGAGCTCGGAGCACTTTCATTAGCAACTAGAAACATGGATTGGATGTGAGCTCAGGAGAGCCTTGCCCAGGGAGGGAAGGAAGGAGGTTCTTCCCCGCCTCTCCATCAGCCAGTCGGCCGACCAGCCTACTTTTGAGGTTCCTGGCAGGCACAGGGCCCATGTGTCTCCTGTTGGGCATCACGCTCAGTTGGTCAGCAGCCGGCATTTCTTACAACCGTTGGATGGCATGGGAACCAGGCGAACCAGGCTGTCAGTCACTGGCCTCGGGATCCACAGTCAGTAAGGACGCCTGCAATTCCTGCAAAGGAAGGATGTTTTCAGGCACTCGTGCAAAGCCATCGTGCACCCATTCTGTGCAAGCCTGGGCATAACTGGATATCACAATTGCTGCCATGGAATTTCAGCCTTGGAGCACTTGTAAGGAAAGACCCAGACAACGAACAGAAACGCACACCTCTGGGCTATGCTTGGGATTTTAAAGGAAGTATTTTCATTCGGTTTATTTGATTTTGATTTATTGTATTTCGACGCCGCTTTTCATTCAAGTGAATCTCAAATCGGCTTACAAACCAATAAATAACCATAACATAATAAAACATAATAGCACTTTGCGAATACAGCATACATCATATAAAATAATTAACAAATGATCAATAAAAAAACAACGAAACAGCAACTAAAAAATAGGTTAACCCTCACAATTATGGCAAATCATGCGATTAACAAATCAACGCAGCATTTAGAATCTATAAAACAATATTAAAAACATTAACAAAATAGCAATTAAAAGATAAGCTAAGCACTAAGTTCGTTCGCACAATCTCTGCACCCCCATGACTCTGTTCAGTTCATTAAAATACACACATGCACATCATGCCTATTGTTAAGCCAGCTCAGCCAGATGCTGTGCTGGCTGGGGTCCTTGAATACCGGGCCATGTTGGAGATGGCGGGGCTCTCAGGCCTCCTGCCAGTGGTAGGGTGGATGTTGACTCTGGGTAGCCTGCCTTGGCTTTCAATAATCTGGAGGTCCATTCCCACTTGAGGAGGTCCAAGACTAGGCTGTCCCTCTGGAGCACCAAGTGGCAACTGCACTTGGTGTAGAGGCCAACCATGAGGTCCAGCAGTAACCCTGTGGCCTGTCCACCAGGAGCTGCTCCAGCCTGTCAGGCCTCGCACTAGACTGATGAAGAGCAGGGCCCTCAGGCCCTCAGCAGGTCAGTCTTTCCTGGGCAGCCACAACAGCAGCAGTCCATGGGAAAATGTTCTTTGCAAATCTTGGACAGGATAGAAAATGGAAGAAAATGGTCCGGGACAGCGCCATCAGCAATGGCGGAGTTCCTCTGACCGAGAGGAACCCGCTCCGTGAAAATCGGGTCTTGCCGCCGCGGCGAAGGCGGAGACCCCTTAAAAATCCCAGGCGGAGGAAGCCTGGGAACGTGGGATTCGGCTGACACCAGGAGCGCCTCCCTACTGCAGGGAAACCCTTTTCGGGGATCCGAGCGACGTGGGGTGAGTGGCGCGGTGTTTTGAATCAACCGCTACTTTTACGGAGTGAAGCCGCACAGCCGTTGCCGGAGAGCGCTGACTTTTTCCTGTGGACAATTGGACTCTAAACAAGTACCCGTGAGTAGAACGGAAAATTGGATTAAGAAATATTTTAATTTGGCACCGAAACGGGAAGGTTCTAAACAGGAAGTCCGCCTCCCGTTTTTTGTAAATAGATTGAAGCAAAAACTTTGTAAGCTAAAGGCTGGAAAGTCGTATATAAAGTTCTAAATTTCCTTCATTCATCACCACCAAACCCCTCTTGGAAGCAGGAGAAAAGAGGGGGATTTTTGACTGTTTAAGCCTGCAGGAGAGAGAGTAAAGAAATATAAATTTTCCACCGTCTCAAACCTGGGAACGGGGTGTCAGAGACAGAAATTTATGGGGAAGTTCATTGACTGTGAATGGAACGTCTTTTGACAGATAGTAAAAAAAAAGAGAGAGAGAGAAATAAATTGACTCCAATGTTGCTTCTTGCAATCAAAAGAAACAAAGTATTTGAAAAGTGAAAGTAATTTTTCTTTGTTGGTCCTGCTTTTAAAAGATGGATACAAATAGAAATTGTCTCCTCTAGAGGGAGCTTGTTAATTTGTTGCCGGAGCTGATCTGGGGACCTCACAGCTGTATGATTAGGATCGTGAGACCAGACTCTAACCTTGGGGAAAAAATGTGTTTACAAGAAGTCTTGGTGCTTGCTTTTTGCAAGACAAGTGCTTTGCTGGAGCAGATGCATGAGAAGATGGATTTGATGACTGTTGCAGTTAAAAACTTTGGACAAACGGCGAATACCCATATAGAAACCATTCAGGAACCAGCCCAGGAATCTGTTTTGATAGGGCAAGCGCAAGTGCAGAAGAAAATGGAGGAGGTTGCTGTTGAACCTCAAATAACACAAATGGAGAGATCCGAGGCCTTGCAGGAGTATAAGCCGCTGTTCTTGAAGTTTGAATCTGGAGTGGACCAGAGGGGGTCTGGAGTTGTGAGGGCTCTTAATTTTGGAAAGACTTTGAAACACGCTTTTAAATACTTTCTGGATTACAGTGTTGACTGTGGGGAATGGGACTGTGGGGAATGGGCTGATCTGCTGAGGAGAGATGGAGATACTTTTGGATTGGAGTCCTCCCGAGACCTACCCCCCAATGAGAAAGGAAAGAAAATAAGAAAAAGATCAACAAAAGACAAAGTAAAGCGCAGGTATAAACAAGAAGAAGACCTGCAGAAGGGACATGGAAAAGACTTAAGAGCCTCGGACATAAGAGCACCAGGTTGATGGATTAGATGGATGAGAAAGGACTGACAAAACCTGAGACCAGGAAGAAGAGACGATGGATGAAGATTGGAAGAAAGTTTTAAAAATTTATTTAGAAAAGTATTGTAAAATTAATGAGTATTAGAAAAATGTTGGGTGAGGCCCTGGCCCTAGAATGTACCATGTGCCTTGCTTCGTCATCATGTCTGTGCAAGGAGTCAAATCTGGGGAGCAGCACACCACATTGGTCATATTTTAAAAGGAACAAACTCAGCCCGAGAATTTCACAGGACTGGGCTGCCATCTTCTGAGTATCTCCAGCCATTCCCCAAAGGTTAGTTTACAGCACACACCACAAATGGCCAGGTTACTCATTCCACAGAGGCCTTTCCTGAGGTTGCACACTATGAGTGCAAGGCTATCATCTCTTTCTAGCTCTCAAAATTCAATATTTCACGGTAGGGACCATGCAATTCTCCACCAGTGAGTCAATTGTGGTGGAGCATAGCATGAAATGGGTCGCGGGTGGCGCTGTGGGTTAAACCACAGAGCCTAGGACTTGCCGATCAGAAAGTCAGCGGTTCCATTTCCCGTGATGGGGTGAGCTCCTGTTGCTCGGTCCCTGCTCCTGCCAACCTAGCAGTTCGAAAGCACGTCAAAGTGCAAGTAGATAAATAGGTACCACTCCGGCGGGAAGGCAAACGGCGTTTCCGTGTGCTGCTCTGGTTCGCCAGAAGTGGCTTAGTCATGCTGGCCACATGACCTGGAAGCTGTATGCCGGCTCCCTCGGCCAATAAAGCGAGATGAGCGCCGCAACCCCAGAGTCAGCCACAACTGGACCTAATGGTCAGGGGTCCCTTTACCTTTACCTTATAGCATCGAATATGGCTGGGTGACTGTTGTAGGCACCTTATTGGGAGACATTTTAAGGAAAAAGTGAGATCTGACTCTTAGGAGGCTGCCAGTGTGAATTCTACACAGCAGTCAAGCTGAACTAGGCATTGATTTAATCCCAATGTCAGAAGTTTAGATGAGAATGTCGGTCAATTTTAGTTTCTCTCAGTTTCTCATTTCTCAAATTTTAAGTTCAGTTCACAACATTTCCACATCGCCACAGTTCTAATATAGGCACAGGCGTCTGTGTGCATACTTCTTTTGTTGTTTGAGAACTGCATTGCAACATTCAGAGATGCACAAATTTTAAAAGGTTGGCCCCGTCTCAGTTTGCATATTGTTTCAGCAAGAACAAATTAGGTAGTTTCACATTAAAATGCAAACTGAATCAATTTTTTTTCTCCATCCCAAAGCAAGACGGAACTATGGCCCAGCAAGTATAACTCAATGACAGTGCAAACTTAGGCTTGCCAGGATCAATTAGAGCTTAAACCCCTGAGTTTCCTGGTCTGCACCTTCCCTTGAACAATGAGATACTTGAGACTACAGTAGAGGAAGAAGAGGCAATATTATCTTGCTAGGTGTTAAGTTGTGGGTGAACATATCAGACGACACAGCGATTCTTCAAACAGCTCTTGTTTATTCACAGGCTAGAACAGAACTAGACTGAAGGGTTCAGTCAGCCTGCTTATATAGAGCTCCAGTACAACGTAACTGTAACAATTTTCTAAAACTATCCAATCACTGAACGTCACTTTTGATCCCTTATTTGCATAACTATCTACAGTATCCCCCTGCTGGCCCAGGGTGAGAACTTCAGTACATAACACTAGGTCTAAAGAGCTCCACCCCTCGGGCAGCCCATTGCCTTCGTCTGACCTGGCAAGGCTAGAAACGCTTCCAGGTCAGGAAAAGATCTTTGTTGGGACTGTAGACCACTTTTTTGCATTGTTTGTGACTGGCTATCCCAGTGGCTTTTTATTTTATTTCAAAGCAAGCCATAGGAGGACCCTCTATAATTCGCACTGGGGCAGAGGCACACAGAATACTTTGCCCTC